GAAACTTGCCCTGGAACAGAGAGCAGCTAAAGCAAATGGAAGTAATGACAAGATAAAAGAGCTGAACAGAAGATTTCAAAGAGCAGCTCAAGCAGGCAAAGTCAGTTATTATAATGGAATGTGCAAAGACCTGGAGTTAGAAAACCAAAATGCTCAGCCTTTCTCAAGCTGAAGGAACTGAAGAACAAATTGAAGCCTCGAATTTCAATACTAAAAGATTCTACAGGCAAAATATTGAATGATGCAGGAAACATCAAAAGAAGATAGAAGGAATACTATACCAAAAAGAATTGGTTGATGTTCATCCATTTCAGGAGGTAGCATATGATCAAGAACTGATGGTACTGAATGGAGAAGTCAGAGCTGCACTGAAGGAATTGATGGAAAACTAGGTGCTAGAAATTGATGGAATAGCCCCTGAGATGTTTTAAAAAAAACGGTTGTCTCACTGGAGGCATTCAATGCCAAGAAATTTGAAAGACAGCTACCTGGCCAGTTGGCTGGAAGAGATCCATATTTGTACTCATACCAAAGAAAAGTGATCCCACAGAATGTGGAAATTATCAAATGATGCCATTAATATCACATGTAAATAAAATTTCCTGAAGATAATTCAAAAACAGTTGCAGCAGTATATTGACAAGGAACTTCTAGAAATACAAGCTGGATTCAGAAGAGGATGTGGAACAAAGGATATCATTACTAATGTTAAATGGATCTTGTTTGAAACCAAAGAATACTAGAAAAATGTTTACTTGTGTTTTATTGACTATGCAAAAGCATCTGACTGTGTGAATCATAACAAATTATGAATAATATTATGAAGAATAGGAATTCCAGAATACTTAATTGTGCTCATGAGGAACCTGTTTATAGACCAGGAGGCTGTCATTTAAACAGAACAAGGGGATACTGCATGGTTTAAAATCAGGAAGGGAGTGTGCCAGGGCTGTATCCTTTCACCATACTTATTCAGTCTCTATGGTGAGCATATATAACTGGACTATATGAAGAAGAATGAAGCATCAGGATTGGAGGAAGTCTCATTAACAACCTGAGATATGCAGATGACACAACCTTGCTTGCTGAGTGAACATGACTGGAAGCACTTACTGATGAAGATTAAAGACTACAGTCTGCAGTATGGTTTACCCCTCAACATTTAGAAAATGAAAATCCTCACAACTGGACCAATAAGCAGCATCCCAATAAATGGAGAAAAGATTGAGGTTGCCAAAGATTTCATATTACTTGGTTCCATGGTCAACACCTGTGGAAGCAGCAGTCAAGAAATCAGACAACGTATTGCGCTGGATATAACTGCTGCAAAAGACCTCTTCACAATGCTGTAAGGGAAAGCTGTCTCTTTGAAAATTAAGGTGTGCCTAACCCAATCCATGATGTCACTGCATATGCATGTGAAAGCTGGACAGTGAATAAGGAAAACTGAAGCGGATTTGATGCTTTTGAGTTGTGTTGTTGGCAAAAAATACGGAAAGTACTATGGACACCAGAAGAACAAACAAATCTGTCCTGGAAGAAGTGCATCCAGAATGCTCCCAGGAAGTGAAAACGGCCAGACTTCATCTTCACCTACTTTGGTCATGTTGTCAGAAGGGACCATTCCCTGGAGAAGGATATCATGTTTGGTAAAGTGGAGGGTCAGCAAAAGGGAAAGGCTCTCTAAGGAGATGGATTGACACAGTGGTTGTAAAGATGGGCTCAGGTATAGCAAGGATTGTGAGGCTGGTGCAGGACCAGGCAGTGTTTTGTTCTGTTGTATATAGGGTCACTATGAGTCGGAGCTGACTGAGGGCACCTAACAACAACAACAACAATAGTCTGCATACCACCTAGAGTTCTTGGATTTGTTTTCTTCTTCTTTTTGTCTTTCTAATCGCTCTTAAAATTCTCAGTTTGCCTTCCTGAAATAATCCTTCTCTCTTATTTGGCCCCTTTTTAATGAAGCTTGTTACATAATGATTTCCAAACTGAAAATAAGAGTAGGTTTTGAGTAGGAGCCTGGGGCTTTGTTCTCTCCATGAAAAGCATCTGTTTCATGTCACCTCTCTTTGAACACCTATTTTGGATTCGTAGAGGTACTTTCTTCCTTTTCAGTTGTTGGCTGTTCCAGCGAGTTAAATAGTAAAATTGGTTGATTGCCTACTTTGCTCATTCATACGCCCAGTCATTCATTTTTTTTTTTTTTTTTAAATAGTAGTATACTAGGAGCTCTGGTAGCGTAGTGCCTAAGGCACTAGACTGCTAACCAGGAGGCTGGTGGTTCAAACCCACCAGCCACTCCTCGGAAGGAAGATGGGGCAATCTACTTCCATAGTGATACTGCCTCGGAAACCCAAGAAGGGGTCGCTGTGAGTTGGGTCTGACTCAATGGCATATAACAACAGCAACATACTAAATAACTAAACCTAAATAGATGAGTTATAGTGTATAAATCAGCTGTTGTCTAGTAAACAGCATGAGAAAGCAGTCATAATTTGGTTGTGGTAACTTTCAATAAATATATTTTGAGTTTTATTTTCTGTACATAATTTTAATTTCAGATTTTAAGGTATTTAGTGAGAATCCTGCACAGAAAAGATTTAATAGGTCTGTGACTGCTCTCCTTAGGAAGGCCTGTCTGCAAAGTTGACCATCGACTGGCATCTGGGAACTTGGCTTCAGAGTGTTCTCAGTCCACAGTTCACTGAAAAGACTCATTCACTGTGCCTAGACTGTTTGTGCAAACTCTATGGTTATTTTGAACACCTGCTTTCCTTCGGAGAGTCTGGAATTTTGGTACGTTAGATAGAAGATTGCCTACATGACCACCCCCTGTGGAAACCTTTATCACTGAGTCTAATGGGCTTTTCTAGGTAGAAACATATTGCTGCATTTGTAGAACTGAGGGAATAGTGCATTCTTTCTGTAAAGATGTCATGGCGGTGGCATCTAACCTCCTCTAACTACAGGGAACATCATCTACGTTAATGGCCAAAGGCAGATTCCTGTGAGGCAGAGGTCAGATATGTCTCCACCCTCCAACCTTTTTACCAGTTCTGATAGGAACTTTCCCTCCCACAGCATACTCTCAGTTATGGGGTTTATTAGCGAAGTAACAGGTGACAGATAGTAAGTAATACTCTGGGAACAGTTCTTGATCAAGATAGCCTTTTCTCAGCCATGCCTACAGGCTCTCAGGCCATTGGCCCCTTGGGCCCTTGGCCCCTTGGCCTGGCCTCTACCCTGTTCAGGCAAGTGTTGCCAAGCTCTTTTTGCTCTGCCAGTAGGTGCTCAGAGACACCCCGCTCTACCAGCGAGCCTCTTGTCTGAGGGCACTCAGGTTTCTTGCTGATGGGCTTTGGCCCACTGTGCAATGCTCTGCTGATCTACTGGTTCTGCTGCTGCCACATCTCTGATACTGCTTCTTGCGATCTCTCACCATCTCCAGTGTTACAGCTCTCTGTGTTTCCTGGGCTGGGGGGATTCTCAGTGCAGGGAGCCCAGGTCCAAAAGATGTATTCTGCTCCCATGTTGACTTCTTGTGGTCATGAGGTCCCCCTTTCTGCTTCTGAGATGGCTCATTTTAAGCCTACCTGGATGGCAAAACTTGATTAATCCCCTCATTAGGGTTCTATATACCTTATTTGTGTGGTTTCATCCCCATAAGGTTGCCATACTGCCGCATCTGGCAAAACTGCACAGGTCACGAAATAAAGTGTCACTAAAGGATTAATGTTTTTTTTTAAAAGGAAAGGGGGCCAGGCAGATGCCCTGCATATTCTACGAGAGTGACCCCTGATGCATCCGTCCTGCTTTATTTATACATAAGCATACGATTACATCATTATTCTTGATATTTCTTTAGAACAATCAAGTATTCAATCAAATATTCTTCTACAGTAAAATAATATATTTCCTTATAACAATCAGCTATTAATTAAACGTTAAAGTTTTACTCTTTCCCATACCCAAAAGCATTTTCCCATGTCCAAATGTATTGGATAATTAATTAGGTTAATATCTCTTGCAGGATTAGCAAATAATCACTAAGCTAGATCATTCTAAAATATAGTATCATTGTTAAGGTACATGATTCTAAACAATGGTTTCTAAGGTATAGTATTCTTAGGGCAAAACATTATCCCAGGGAAACAGGTTAGCAATCATTCTGCTGGGACAATGTTCTGCCCCAGGAACACAAAGCTGGAGCCAAGCAAGCATTCAACCGTAAGAGAGGCCTTGCCATCTCTTAACTGTAGTTAGAACATGTGCCTTGCAATCATGTTCTTTTGGGGGTCTTTTTCTTGGTCTCCAACACCATACACCTTATTTGTGTTATTAGCAAGCTGTCCACCCCCTTTAATGGACTGCAAACAACTCATATGCATAGTCCCACCCAGTCATTTGGTGGGAGTTACAAAGACTATGGCTATAAGGACCATATTAAGTAGTGCACTGCATCACAATGTGTTAACTCCTCTTGAGAGGGAAGAGAGAATTGGGAAAACTGCACATGGATTCTTGCAGGCTCCGTCTGTCTTTTTTCCCTTATGATCCAGCTATATATGCTTACTGTGTTACTGGAATAACACTTTGCCATGAGTACAACAATATGCTGAGTCTTGAGCCCTTCTAATAAATCTCTGAATGTAGGGGTGGTTTCAGGGACCTGTGACACAAATGCCTAGCCTTTATTGATCTTTTACTATGTGCCTAGCTTAGTTCTAATTGTTTTACATGGATTATCTCATTGAATCCTCTTATCAACAGTACCCTCTGAGGCAGGTCAGTACCATCATCACCTCTTTGACAAGGGAAGTTGTTTGAGGCTTAGTGAGATTAAGTGTAGGTCCTATAGCTCACAAGTTTATTTCATAATCTGTCTTCTTTTTTTCCCCCTTCCCCATCTTCATATGTTTACACCTCAGGTTATATTGTTTCTGCTGTTCAGAGGAGAGTTTAAGTGAGTATTCCTTTAACTCCCTTTATCATTTCAGATATGAGCACATCCTCATGGAGCCTGACCCAGTACCAGCTTATGCCTTGAAGCTGCTGGTTGCCATGACTGAACACAACCCAGCTTTTACCAGGTATTATTACTTCAGATTTCCTGGTCTTGTTTCTTATCAATAAAATGGATTTTATGTGGTCTGAAAACGTTAAAGATAATGAGATTGTGATTTTCCATATTTCATGATTTGTAATATCCATGTCTTATACTGTTTTGACTTATTCTCATATTTTTGCCCTTTAGTGGATTTTGAAAAACAATGTGCAGTGCCTCATGCTTTAAATGATGAATTATTTAAAGAGAAATACTAACACATATACTTAAAGAAAATGTCAAACTGTGTCTCTTATTGTACTGAACAGTTGTTTATTTCAATCTCTAGAATTTATAGGCTATTACTTCTTGCTACTATTTCATTTAGTTGACGTAGCATTATTAAGTAGTATAGAACTTTGGCCTTTATTGAAGAAAGTACAGAAGTAATACCAATTTTTTTAGAACTAGTTGCTAGGATAGTAGCTACTGCTTTCAGTATTGCAAAGAAGAGTTTGTTTGAAAGAGCACTCAGTTTACAGAAGAGGAAGAATGCTAGTTCTTCCTTCTTTTCAAACAAGAACACTAGTTTTAATTGAGCAGGTGACGTATGAGGACCTTTTGGGGTTGGGAGGTATACCTGCAAAGTTGCCAGTAGATCTTTTCTTTTTTTAATAATTTAATTTTTTTTGTGTGCCAAAATATATATAACAAGACATTTGCTATTTCAATCCATTAGGTGTACACTTCAGTGACATTAATTACGTTAACTTGTTATACAACCAAGGAGCTCTGGTTGTATAACCAGAGTACCTAAAGCATCTGACTGCTAATCAGAAGGTTGGTGGTTCAAATCCACCAGCCACTCCACAGAAGCAAGACTGGGCAATCTACTTCCATAAAGATTTACCAGCTCGGAAATCCAGTGGGGGTTGCTATAAGTTGGAATCAATTGGATGGCAGTGAGTTTGTTTTTTTTTTTGGTTTGTTATACAACCATCACCACTATCCTTTTCCAAATGTTTTCATCACACTTAACAGAAACTCCATGGCCTTTAAACAATAATTTCTTGTTTTTCCCTCCCACCACCTCTGGTAACTACCAATAAACTTTTGTTCCTATGCATTTGCCTGTACTAGATATTTTGTATGAGTGGGGTCATATGATATTTGTCATTTTGCAGCTAATTCATTTCAACTTAGTATAATATTTTCAAGGTTCATCTGTGTCACAGCTTATATCCGAACTTAATTTCTCTTTATGAACTTGTTTTGGCTGTCTAATGTCACTCTGACAGAAATACCATAGGTGGAATGGCTTGAACAAACAGGAGTTTATTCTCTTACAGTTTTGGAGGCTAAAGTCCCAGTTCAAAGTGCCAGGCTCTAGAGGCTGGGTGAAAGCCCCTGGACCTTGGGCTTCAGTTCTGTCTCTTGCTCCTGGCCTTCTGAAGCTGGAGGCTTTCTTCACTCACGCAGCTGCTGGCAGCTGAGGCTGACAAACCCAAGATCAACAAGTACAAAAGCACAGTCCCAATATTATCAAACCACACAGCAGATCACTAATTCAAGTCCAGAAAAAGTCCCAAGATCAGTCGAGCATCATGGCAGGCTGCTGAATGAGGACTTAGCTACTTGCAGGGTCCAGGTGTGCCAGAAAGCTACAGACCATGCCCAAAGCTTCTCCTTATATTCGGGAAACAGATCACATCCCTAAAGCAGCTACTCAGCTGCTTGTGGTAGATCCCACCATGGAGTTGATTGCCAGTCTCATCATGGGAAATAACTACCACCAGCTGCCCAGTCACTCAAAACCAGGCCCAGCCAAGTTGACACATAACCTTAACTACCATAGAACTGAATAAAATTCCATTGTGTGAATGTATACCATATAATGCTTATCCATTCATCTGCTGATGAACACTTGTTTTTTCCTATTTGTTTGCTGTTGTGAATGATGATACGGTGAACATTGATATACAAGAATCTCTCTGAGTACCTGCTTTCAATTCTTTTGGATATATACCTAGGAGTGAATTGCTGAGCCATATGGCATTTCTATTTTTATCTTCTCGAGTAACTGCCACACTGTTTTTCCACAGTGCTGCACCATTTTAAAATATCAACAGAGGATGAGGGTTCTAATTTCTTAGCATCTTCACCAACACCATTTTTCTGATAATAGCCATCTTACTGGATGATGAAATAGGATGCTTTATTGTGGTTTCTATTTACATTTCCATACTGACTGTTGATATTGAGCTTATTTTAATGTGGATATTAGCTATTGGTATTTCTTCTTTAGTGAAATATCTATGTAAGTCCTTTGCCCATTTTTTTCATTGGATTGTTTACCTTTTTGTTGTTTAGTTGTAGGAGTTCTTTGTGTATTCTAGATATTAAATCTTTACGATATAAACAATTCTCCCATTCTGTATGTTACCTCCTCACTTTGATACACAAAACTTTTTAATTTGATAAAGTCCAATTTATCTTTTGTCTTTTGTTGCTCATGCATTTGGTGTTGTATCTAGCAATATGCTGTTGAAAACTTGGTCTTTAAAGGTTTACCCTTTGTTTTCTTCCAAGAGTTTTATAATTTTCATTCATACATTAAGGTCATTGATCAATTTGGAGTTAATTTTCATATATAGTGGGAGATATGGTTCCAGTTTTATTTTTTTGTGTATAGAAATCCAGTTCTCCTAGTACTATTTATTTAAAAGATTATTTTTTCCCCATTGAACAGATTTAGCATCCTTGTTGAAAAGCATTTGTCTATAATGATCTCCTTGTCTTATTTCCTTTCTTAATGGAAATGCTTTGCCTTTATCCTTTGACCATGATGTTAGCTGTAGGTCTTTATAAACATTCTTTATCATATTGAGAATTTTATAGACATACAACAGTGCTAGAGCCACCAGCCACTCCTCGGAATGAAGATTGGGCAATCTACTTCCATAGTGATACCACTGCGGAAACCCAAGGAGGGTTCACTATGAGTTGGGTCTGACTTGATGGCACATAACAACAGGTTTTTTTTTTTTTTTTTTTTTGAGACATACAACAGTACTAGACCATTTTGATTACTGTAGTTTTATGGTATATTTTAAAATCAAAAACTGTGAGTTGTCCAACTTTATTATTCTTTTTCAAGATTCCTTTGGCATTTTGGGATTCCTTGAAGCTCCATATAAATTTGAAGATTGGATTTTGCCTTTCTGCAACAAAAGCTGTTGCAATTTTGATAGGGATTGCATTGAATCTGTAGATCATTTTGGCTAGTATTACCATCTTAACAATATTACTTTTTCCAACCTGTGAATATGAAATGTCTTTTTTATATATTTAGGTTTTCTTTAATTTTTTTCAGCAACATATTACAATTTTAAGTATATAAATCCTTCATCTCTATGGTTCAGTTTATTCCAAGGCATTTTATTCTTTTGGATGTGATTATAAATGGAATTGTTTTATTAATTTTCTTTTCAGATTACTTATTATTGCTATATAGAAAATGAGCTGATTTTTGTATATTGACCTTGTATCCTGCCATTTTGCACAATTCATTCATTAGATCTAGTAGCTTTCATATGGGTTCTTTGAGATTTACTATATATAGGGTGATGCCATCTGTCAAAAGGGATAGTTTTACTTCTTCCTTCCTGATTGTGGATACCCTTTATTACTTTTTCTTGCCCAACTGCTTTGGCTAGGATTTCTATTACAGTATTGAATAGCACTGGTGAGAGCAGGTCTCTTTTTTTTTTGTTTCCTTTCTTAATGGAAATGCTTTGTCTTTACCCTTTTATAAATGTTCTTTATTATATTGAGAATTTTCCCTTCTGTTCCTAGGTTTTTGGATGTGTTTATTGTGAAAGGGTGTTGGGTTTTGTATGATGTATTCTTTGCATTGATTGAGATGGTTATTTGGCTCTTTTCCTTTAATTTCTTAATGTGGTGTTTTCCATTGATTAATTTTCTAATACTGACTTACTCTAGCATTCCTGGAAACCACTTGACTATCTGTCATACTGTAGTGGTTTGCATGTTGCTGTGAGGCTGGAGGCTATGCCACTGGTATTTGAATACCAGGAGGGGCACCCGTGGTTCGACAGGTTTCAGTGAAGATTCCAGACTAAGACAGACTGGGAAGAAGGATGGGGGCATTCACTTCTGAAAGAAATGGCTGCTGAAAGCCTTATGAATAGTGGTGAAACAGTGTCTGATATATTACTGGAAAATTTTGTGAATAGCCCTGAAACATTGTTTAATAAAGTGCTGAAAGTTGAGCTCCTCAGATCAGAAGGCACTCAAAATACAACTGGGGAAGAGCTGCCTCCTTAAAGGAGAATTGACCTTAATGATGTGGATGGAATAAAGCTTTTTGCTGATGGACCCCGACTGAAAATGGGAAGAAATAGCTGCAAACATCCATTAATAATTGGAACACAGAATGTATGAAGTATGGATGTAAGAAAATTGGAAGTTGTCAAAAATTAAATGCATTGGATAAAGATTGATATCATAGGCATTAGTGTGCTGAAATGGACTGGTTTTGGCCATTTTGAGTCAGACAGTCATATCATCTACTATGCCGGGTATGACAAATTGAAGAGAAATGGCATGGCATTTGTCATCACAAAGAATATTTCAAGACCTATCCTGAACTACAATGCTGTCCGTGATAGGATAATATCCATATGTTTATAAGGAAGACCAGTGAATACTACTGTTAATGCAAATTTACGTACCAACCACCAAAGCCAAAGATGAGGAAACTGAAGATTTTTGTCAACTTCTGCAGTCTGAAGTTGACCCAGCATGCAATCACGATGTGTTGAAAATTACTGATTATTGGAACGAGAAAGTTGGAAACAAAGAAGAATCGCTGTTGATTGGAAAATATGGCCTTGGTGATAGAAATTATGCCAGAGATTGCATGACCAACAACTTACTCATTGCAAATACATTTTTTCAACAACATAAATGGTGGCTATACACATGAACCTCACCAGATGGAGTACACAGGAATCAGATCAACTA